CATTAAAAAAAAGGTGTGAAAATGGCAAGTGTGTTTTTAAGTCAGAATTAATTAGCCAAGGAAGAATTACATTTTTCCTTTTGATTCCATTTCATCAGTCAAATAGTCAATCAATCCAGTCAGCTGCCCCATCACTCATTGTATTACATCCTCACACGTACATATACTTAACAAATATCGACAAATTTCTATGACTGGTATCCGCACGTATACTATAATAGAGTTTGATAAACCTCTTTCTCGTCACAAATCCAAAATATTGACTGAAGAATGGTCTCTTCATAAGATGGACCATTGTATTTGCTTTATTTAGCAACTTCGAGACTTCAAAACTGCCGTCGATGTCTTTATTAGGCGCGTAACGCTATCAAGTTGATAATTGCTGTGTGGTGGACAAACTTTGGGAATTTTTTATTGGTTGTTAATGATATACTTTCAGTATCCAACGCTCCTCACGTGATTGATTGCTTATCCAGTGTATGCCCTTTTGTCCCATTCTTGCATAATTGAGCTGAGACTGAGATATACAATATTGTATTGTGCCAGTAGTCAATGATAAATTATGTCTAGTCACGTGATACGATTCTCTTAGTGTAAAAAGAAAACAAATGGTGCTATACACAGAGAAGTCAAAGAGAGAAAAGATGAGAGGACATGGAGAAGAAGCAGCAGCAGTTCTTTTGTTCGAGACCAAAGAAGCAAAAGGGAGAACTGCTTTTAAATTAATTTCTTTAACAATATTTCTGGGTATAGTTTCAATATGGGCATACAGAATAATTTGTATTCCAAGAACAGGAAGATATGCGTGGATTGGGATGTTCATTTCTGAGTTAATATTTGGTATATATTGGATATTTACTCAGTCTGCTCGATGGAACGTGGTTTTTCGCCATCCCTTCAAGCACAGGCTCTCCCTCAGGTACTTTTCTTTCTCCATTATGCTGCCCGAATGTTAAAACAGTTCTAGTTTTTGACTTGAACATGTTACAGATACGAGGACAAGTTGCCAAGGGTCGACATTTTCGTTTGCACGGCTGATCCAATATTAGAGCCACCATCAATGGTAATCAGCACGGTTTTATCAGTCATGTCTTACAATTACCCGCACGGAAAGCTGAGTGTTTACCTCTCAGATGATGGTGGTTCAGAACTCACATTCTATGCTCTATTGGAGGCCTCTAAGTTTTCGAAATATTGGATACCTTTCTGCAAGAAATTCAATGTGGAACAAAGGTCGCCTCAAGCCTATTTTGCTCGAAATATTGATATGAACCATCCAGAGTTTGCTCACGAATTTTGTAATATCAAGGTGAATTTTCAGTTATGATTTTAACAGTATTATGAAATCGCTGGCTAAAGAAAATTACACAGAAAGAAAATTTTCAGAAATTATATGAAGATATGAAGAGAAGAATAGAATCTGCAGTAGAGAAGGGCTGCATTTCGAATGACATAAAGGATCAACATGGAGGATTCTTAGAGTGGAACTCTAAG